ACCCTAAACCCTAAACCCTCCTACCTTCGTAAAGATTATCCTCACAAAAAACCGGGACTGAATAATACCCTCGCAAGCCGAACTGACTTGAGACAAACGACTCCTGCATGAGCAGTGCTGAGCTGCGAAGAAGATGGCTAGAGCCATGATCCTCTTCAAGAGCATGGTGCCAAGAACGGTTTAGGGCTTATCGATAAAGGGCCCAGGATAGATGATAGATGCGATTCGGTAGACTTGAAGACTTGAAGAACATCAATCAGAATGAACCACCAAAGAACATCCTGCTTTCTCTTGAGTTCATTTGTTTGGGCGTAGCTGGACACCTACACCCCATAAGGCCTCGAATTCGGAAAGCTTCCGGACTTTGCCGTGGCCTGCCGGGCTTTGCCGCGCGCTTAGCTTGGCGAGCCAATCATGGCACTGGGCAGTTCACCATTGTGAGGTGCCCAGTGTGCCGGGTTGGGATGGGTCCCTCAAGCCTCGCAGGCTTCGGTGGGGCCTGAGTCTAAGCACAGAGCCATACTACGCTTTTGAGGAACCCTTGCATTTAATGCAATGCCTTCGGCGATCGTGACATGGCAACCAGAAGACTTCTAGCAGCCTCAGGACCAGCACCCGGTTTAAGTGCCCCCTGATACCGCGTCGTCCAAACAGAACCAAAAGCTTCGCTCTCAACAGCAACTTCAAACTCACTGCCTTCTTCTCAATCAGGCGCCTCACTCCGACTCCTTGCGCCTGATGCAAGTTTCGCAGGGAATTCAGTCGCTGCTGGACGGTGCATGACATCCGTAGAGACAAGCTGTAGCCTTTTCTGCATATGGCGTGCTACAGCAAAGCGAGGCAACTGGCCTGATTTTCTGGATACGGTCCTCAGGATTTCAAGAAACGAACACAGGGCCGGGGCACCGACATTGACGGTCTAGGTCTATGGATTCATGAGGTCGACATTCAGGTTCGCAGCTGACGGCTGATGAAGGACTGTCTTGGCAGTAAAGGATGTAAAGGTTTAGGGTTTAGGGTTTAGGGTTTAGGGAACACATCCCAAATCCTCCGCAGCTGACCCTCGTGCTGCCTCTGCCCGCCCTACCACCAGATCCCTGCCACTGCTCTCAAGCGACTGACTTTTCCCTCTTGCTGGTCATCCGCTTGAAATCCACGGAGACCTTCAGGGAAGCAGGAGGTAAGGGCTAATATAGGGGCCTTAATAGTAAGAACAGGGTTTTGGGGCCCATGATGCTATATGTAACAATAAGGAACCCCCAAAATAATATTGGTAATTATAAGCTAAGCTGAACTCTCCTGCTTCTCACTGTGTTCCGGTCGACAGGCCTCAAAGCCCTGCGTCCTCACGTTGACACGGTCCCTGGCTGCGGCTTGAGATTGCGGTGCATAATGTAAGGGCCTTAATAATTAGAACAGGGTTTTGGGGCTTTTCTTGTCTAATTATAATAAGGAACACCCAACACCCTATTCAAATTACTTAGGCCCCTACCTTACCAAAATTGGTTTGCTGGCTTCTTTGGGCTTCGGGGCTGGCTGTTAAGATTCTCCAGCCTGGCACCTGCCTCCAAAGTTCTTCGGACGATTTTTTGATGCGAGATTCGCAGAAGAAACATGGCAACTGCCCACGATGGGCGACCCTAGGCTCACACCAAAGGAAATCGCAGCTGTAACATCTGCTTCTGGACTCTAATACCAGAGTCCAGACTTGCTGGTTGAACCACTCCTCAACTACATCTACTGAACCATGGTCGTCACACAAGCACCGACAATGGCTCGAAGGTGCAGTGCTCTTCTCCCTCCGACCCCTGGCTACATCTTGAGAAGATGCTTTGCACCACATGATGCCGCCGGCCTGCCGCCCTTGAGGAACTCCTTTCACGCTCGGCTAGGGTACGACTGCATGTACAGGCTACCATAGGCTTTGCGCGTCCTTGCTGCCGGTGCAGTAGCTATGTCTCAAAATTTACTTCTTGGCCCAGCATGGGGACAATCAGTTTCCGCCCTCAACCCTACCAAAAAAGGGTCCACGAATTCTAGAAGGCAAGTCACTCCCCGATACTTAACTTTGAACGGGGGGCCCCTGCACGCTTCGCGAAGTGAAACTACTCTGTCTATGCCGGGGTGTGGGGCTGTGGCTCTGCCACTACTCAGGGGTACCCGATCCACGAAGCCAAGGCAGTCATAGGCGGACTCAGAGTAACCAAGGTCCTGGTATTTGCGCTCAATGTAAGACTGGCAATCTCCGTCATATGCCTCGGCGCAAAACAAAGGGGTCTGAAAAGTCGGTGACCATATTCCTTTAGTGTCATGGCTATACTTGGAGTATAGCAACCCCCAAAACCGCAAATAAGAACAATAATAAATAAACATACGTACATACATACATACATACATACATACATACATACATACATACATGTATATATATATATACACATGTATATTTATTCATTTATTTATTTATTTAAAGTCCCCTGTATTGGCCATCTCCTCTGGGGAGTCCGAAACCTGATGTCCCTGTATGTGCTTGTCTTGCAAGGCGCATCCTGAAGCTGAGACTGAGCAGCCGTCGATTTGGGTTTTTCTCGGGATTATTTTAAAGTGCACTCCCCCCTTTCCGTCGCCGCTGCTGCTGCTGCATGGTCCCAGAGTACCCATGGGGGGTTGTAGGGGTTTAGGGCTTGGGGTTTAGGGCTATCTGAGCCTAAATAGCCTAGACCATAACAACACGACATGCATCTCTGTCCAAAAAACCTCGGCCCTTCAAGACGAACCTCCATGCCCCTTTAATCCCCTTTTGCCGAAAACCAGCTTGCATCCACTCGATTCCCTCCTTGCAGCCTCACTCACACCCCCTTCATTTCCTGCAACTGATAAATACCTGGCCAAGGTGCAGAAAAGTGGTCCTTCCACTCATACTCCCAGGTCACCCGGCCGTGCCTACCTCCGCCTGTGGGTCGGGTGCTTGCTTTCGTCAGGTATTCCGGGACTTGCTTGTGCCCTAGACCCTACCTAAACCATGGCTTGGGGCATCGCTTCTGGGATGAAGGTGCCAGCCTGTCTCTGCAGTGCCCGGCAGCGTGCCACCCACGAGTGGCCTGAAAACAGAGAGGCTTTCAGATCTGGCTTCAGGCTTGAGTTAACAAAAAATCTTTACGTTCTTTATGGTATACCATACCTACATTGCATCACAATCTGTAGTATGCTTGTCTTGAATTCTGACTGTGAACTCTAAAATCGATCCGCGCGCTCTCGAAACATGAGAAGGGTGTTTCCCATAAGCCTACAGCGCAGTACTTCCGAAGTGTGAGGGACACTAAGGCTCCTATACTAGACCCTGGACTTTGAGCTTATGGAACTCTTACAGGGGTAGTTCTTCAAATGAGGATCCCTTTTTAGGTCCACAATATAGTATAGCACAGCACCCCTATAAAAAGGCCCATAACAGGGACCCTAATTGAGAGAACTACCCAAAAACCCTCGTCAGGACCCCAAAACCTGGACCTCTAACCTTTCATCCTCCAGCCCCTCTTGCTCCAAGCCACCCGGAGCGTCGTCCCTTCATGGGATCAACAGCAGGTACCCCTGATAACCGGGCCGTAGATTCCCCTTCTGGCACCTCAACAGAACCCCCCCAAAAAGAACACCTATAATACCTTATAAACTTACAGTAACCCTACACGCCCCAGACCCCGTACAATAACCCCTAAACCACCCAAACCCCAAACAGTACCGCGACAAACCCCCAGATTCGTTTAGGCACCCTAAACCCTAAACCCTAAACCCTAAATTTTAGACGGCTGCTCCGTTTCTCCAAGCCACACGGAGGGTCCCTCCTCTTCGGCCGCCGCGGCGGGCCCTGGCAAATCCGAGGACAGCGAAGCCACATAATTATGTAATGTTCTAGTATACTCAGAAGTAACAACAAACGTTCTTATTTTTGTCTTATCAAAAATAATTAGTGTTGTAATGTTTTAGTATATTAAAATGTAGCAGACGTTCTTATCTTTGTCTTATCAACAAAAGTAATTAGTGTTGTAGCGTAGTGTATTTTGTTACGTTTTATACTAGTCTACACTTCCATGTAATATGTGTTGTGTAGATGGCAGATCGTCTTATTGTTCTGAATAGTATATACCACTCTGTTTTATGATATACGAACATATACTATACTGTATTATATTGTAAGGTATTATGCTATATAATATCAAGAGAATTGATGCTATAGTTTTTCTATTTGTGTATCGTATAGTAACCTGAAGTCTAATATAGTATAGTATGGTATAGTATGGTATAGTAAAGTATAGTATGCAGCGAAGTATAGTACAGGATAGCATAGTATAATACAGTATGTTCTGGTATGTCGTGTTTTCTTGTACTACACTGCGTTATACTAGACCATGACCTCTATTATGCTGTACTGTAGTATCTTTACTGTATATCACATGACATTATACTGAATTAAGTTAGTATATGATTATATGACATAACACACGATTATCGTGTTATATTATACCACCTATATGATATTACATTCTGTTACTTCGTGCTATACTATATTCTAGCTTTGAATCATGATATCTTATGTTGTAATATATTATAGTATATTGTAGCATACTAGCATAATGAAAAAGTATATCATATTGCCAGCTGTTCTTATCATGCCATATTATGGTCTCGGAGGCTGTAGGGCTTCCGTTTTTTGGTAGACGTTTAGTGTTGATGTCTCAGAGTTTTAGCATTTATATGGTCCGTGGCTTTTGCTTGGCAGGAAAGCATCTAGGCTTCGGGTGAGGCCTCATTTGCATTGTGTCGGAGAAGGGATAAAATTAAGGAGATAAGAACCTTGAGCCCTAAATCTTGAACCATGGGTCCACAACTTCAAGCGTAGGGTACCCAAAAATCTCCACTTTCTCGGGTCTCCAGCAGATGCTGTGCAGGAGCTTCATCAGCAGGACTGGAGCTTTGCATCGAAAGCAGGCCCGCAGAACTCCAAGTTTTCATCTCCGCAAGTGAAGTCAGAGCCTTAATCAACCCAAAACTCATCAGCTGCAACATCATGTTCAGGCCTGGCCCGGGTGCTGGCTCGGGCGACACCGCCACACCATACCTCGTCCAGAGACTCTTCGTCTTCATAGCTTACTTGGAGCTGTGAGGATGCGCGTCTGGTTCTGACAGGATGACCCGGCTCTGGGGAAGTCATTGTCAAAGTAGTAGCAGTAACCAGTATAGTGATAGCAACTGCTATGGTCAGAGTACGGCTCAAAGCCACTGTCATCTTTGCGACCAGAGTAGCAACAACGACAACACACCCACAAAAAGCAAGCAGCAGAAGCACAGGTCAAAAATCCCTGGTTCAAGCCCACATCCGAATCCTGAACCCTGCAGCTGCGAAGCCCGAAACCCGGAGTCAGTCAAGCGGCGTGGTTGGCGCAGGGGTCGGGCTTGTGGGCACCGTGGAGATGCTATCTGGCAGAGGCGATGAAGACATACAATCGACTGTACTAAAAACTATTTTTTTCTACCCTACAGCACATGATGCTGAGTTACCGGATACTATATTACTGTATACTATGTTACAGTACTGGACGGTACGATTAGCACTATGTAGTCCGGTACTATACCACTACATAACATAACATGGTACAATATAATATGTTATAACCGAATATAATGTGGTATAACATAATGTGAAATCTTGTAGTGAAATAAAATCCGATGTAGTACAGTATAATATAATCAAGAACCACATAATATTATATAGTACAACATAATATAATGTAATGTACTAACTGCTATTTTACTATATGGTATTACATAGCATGTTACGTATAATATCAGATCATGTCACCTCATACAATGTACAACATACCACGTCATCATAACATATCAGACCATTCCGTACAATATCATATAAAATCAAATCATATTCCCCAGGGCACACTGGGACTTGGAATCGCCGTCATGAACTCAACCAGCGACACCCTCAGAGCTACGTGTCCTCTTTGCCCCACACTGAATGGCTGTAGAACTTGCCAGTTTGGCTGCAACTGTCGTGCTTTTATCAACAGGTTCTGAAACAAGGTCTGCAAGCAGACTTTGGAGCGCAGGCGACGGGACGTTCGTTCGAAGAGTGCTTCTTGTAAGCCTGGGTCCCAGACCAGAGGATGAAAGCACGGAGAAAGAACAAGGAAATTTGAGTAGCCACAATAAGAACAAGAAGAATCATGATAACAGGAGAAGCAATCAAAATAGTCATAATCCTAATCATGATTATAATACGAATAAAAGAAGTCAAAGCAATCGTCACAGTACTAATAGTTGTAGCTGTAGCAGAAATAGTAATAGTAAAGAACAAAAATCATCACCATCGCGATAATAACAAAGAGAATAAAGATAATCAATAAAAAATTCCCGAATCCCTAAAAACAAGTGCTGCAATTAGTCAGGCATCAGGAGCGGAGCAGCAACGAAGAGTCAAAGTCCGACTCGCAATCCCAGCCACAACCATACCACAGCAAGAAGTCGAAAGACACAAACAATCAAAACTCCCTGTAGGGGATGTGTGTGGGGGAAAGTGGAACTAGGCTTTTCCGTAAGATGATTTCCTGCTCCGACTTTGACAGTCGCGAGGACCGGGGACGCGGATCTAGTTTGCTAACCTTCACATAAGAATCTGCCTCTGGTGAGGAGGGTTTGGTCATGATCCACGCGAATGGGCTGTGGCTGTGGGTTGCTACCTATCTCATCGGTGATGACCATCACAACATCCAACAACTAGCGCGTGGGACATAGCTACTCGTTCCCCACCTTAGTCCGCGAGATGCACTCGGCGTCGACACGGAGCCGGCCCTAGAACTGACTGATTGAGCTTGGGGCACCAGGCCCGGCAAGCCCTCTGATTTATGAAATAATATCATATAGTACAATACAGCATTGTAGTATAGTATGATATAGTCAGATACATATATATATATATATACGTATTTATTTATTTATAGATACCATATATAGATATATATATATATATATACATATGATGCACATATTTATGAATTTGGAATATAATGAACCCCGAGCCTGGATCGGCACCAGTCGCCACCACACCTGCGAACAGCCGAGCGCCCCTGCTACCTCCCCACATCTCCTAAACGCGAGGAGCCCAAAGGACTTTCCTGAAAGACTGGGCAGGGCTTTGGGTTTAGGGTTGGGGGTTTACGTAGCGTTTAGGGCTTGGGGTTTAGGGCCAAGTTTAGGGTTTGGGGTTTAGGGTGCAGGGCATCGGGATTGAAGACTTCCGGCCATTAGCAAGGGCTGACGGGGAATTCGCCTTTGCACCTCCTCTCGAATGAACGCCCACAGATTCGACCTGAGTGTCAATGCGTCCGAGGCGCGGCCGCCCTTCAGCGCCACCTTGGCAGTCACTCCGTAGGTGGCATCCTGATGGCCAGTCGAAATCGGAGTCCGTTCAAGTTTCAAGCACCTCGAAAAGCCTATCATTCATGTCGCCATAATGCCAGTCTTGGCGTCCTTATGCAGCTCTCAAGCGGATTATGGTTCATAAGCACTACATCGGGTGGACGAAAGATTCGACCCACTTGTCCCTTCTTACGGTACCACCTCTTGAGGAGTATCGGAATGCCCGGAACTTCAGGTTATATGACTCGGCTAGCGGAGTATTTGGTGCGCCGTTTTGCGGTTCTGATGTGCTCATAAGCATATTGCCGGTTGTTTACACTTACTCAAGCAGCCAACATCCGTATCATCTTGCTTTCTGAATTCCTGGTAAGTACCCCGAAGTCCCCAACAAGAACATGGAGCCCAGCGTACCGAAAGCCGCAAATCCCAAGACCTGCGGAGCACGTCACCCTTAAGCCGCACAGCTAACAATCACAAACCCTCAAAAACCAGCCAATGCTAGACACACCTGACACTCAACGCTGGAAATTGGAAATCTATACCCCATGCAGAGACTCGAGACCAACCTGACGGCCAGAGGACGGTCCTCAGCCATCTTCTCTGCTGAAGCACCATAGCTGTCCTAGGAGGATGCACTGTTATCAAATGCAGGTTGAGCCGAAGCTGTTGGGATTAAGATTCTGGAGGCAGGGTGCAGGCCGCGGGCGTTGTCTACTAGTACCACTGTACCACTACTACTACTACTAC